GCTCATTGCCCTATGGAAGTCTCAGGGATTCTCTTCCCCTTTCAGCCCATGTGCTGGCCCAGGCAGGGAGACCAGCTAAAGCTGCTTCTCATCTTCCAACGCAGGCATCCTGCACCATTCCTGGGGATGGGATGGGAGTTGATCTCAGGTCAGCTGTTCATGCCTTGCTGTACCTACCCCCAGTTGGAGTCAAGTTAAATTAAGGACTGTGTTTGCTAAAGAAATGTCACTGGCCAATGATTGCTATGGTGATGAGGTGTATTTTTTTTGTTGGTTTGGTTTGGTTGGTTGGTTGGTTTGTTTTTTCTCCTTAGTTTGCAGTGCGATGCACAGGGAGCAGGGTGTGACTAAGGATTAGCCAAAGGCCTGTTCTTTTACCGTGTAGGAGGTTTTTTGTTGATTTTTAAAGTGTTTATTTCTGAAAATCACGCTGCTGTCTCTCTATCTCTCTGTTACACCCAACATCGCGCTGTGTCCCTGTGGTGTTAAATAAGGCGGTCCAGCCACGGCCCTCCTCTTCTGGTGCACAAGATCCTGGTGGTCCCCATAGCTGTCAATAGCGGGTTCTCACTGGCACTTCCATTTCCCCGTTCTCAGGGACATAGTTTCCTCTCCTGGTAAGAGAGGACCTCTGCAATCATCAGACAGAGACTTAGAGGAGTGTGACCCTCCCCTGAGGAGCACAGGGCTCCCTAAAGATGTGCATCTGTGACACCTTGAGCTTCATGGACCCTTGAGTGGCACATCTGTGCCCCGCTCTCCAGCCACGGCAGTGAGCGGTGGTGCACAGGGCTGTGGCCCCCATGGGGTCTGTCCTGCAGCTGGCGGTTTCCTTCCACTTTAAATTCTAAGTATTGGTGGGTAGAAAGCAGAACCACAAACTGGTTTAGGGCTCCTGGGTATAATCTGTGCTTTTTCAGAGGCCCGTGGCTTTTGCAAAGACAGCAAGGCTTTTTTGTTTATGGTCTTTGGTTACCTGTTAGCTGTGAAAGGTCGAAATGAGAATCTCAGCTCGGACTTTGCTGAGCAGGCTGTGGGGCACATCCTTCACTAGCTGCAGTCTCTGGAGGTGTGTTATATATATACAAATACAACCAGAAAGTCCTTTGTGTAGCTCCTCAAGCTGTGGCTGGAGCTGGCATTGCTTCCCTGCCTCCTGCCAGGCGCAGCTTGGCTGGGGCTGTTCTGTGCAGAGAAATGGGCCTTGATTTTCACTAGGAGAGTAAATTACTGTGACCACAAATTGTGAGAGTTGGCATCACTTACTGAACGCTGCGAGGAAGAAGAGTCCTAGAGGAATCCTGATCGAATTCGTTTTGGTGCGTTTCCACGGAAACAGGCTGAGCTGTACAAGAGCAGGCTGGGTCCTTCAGGGCTGCCGGCGGGTGGGACTTTGCGTGCTGCTTGCAGTGATATCCCTGCCTTGGAAGCACGTCCTGGCTCTCCGTGTGCATCACTGTGTGAGAAGGGCAAGACTCTGCAGCCACTGCACTCCAGCCTGCACCCTTCTCCGTCCTGGCAGGCTTGGGGGGTGCAAAGCTGGTGTGGTTGTATCAGGAGGGAAAAGGTTTCTACGTGTCTGTCTCTCAGCATGAGTTTAGCTCCCTTGTTCCACACAGCTGATGTCTTCCCGTCCAGCTCCAGCTGCTGACCATGGTGGCCCCTTCCTGCTGTCAGGCCATTTCCCTGTGGCTCTGGCTCTGGCTAATCCCTTTCTCCCCAGCCCCCCCTGCCCTGCCCCATCGTTGCTGTCACCACGCCACTGTTTGGGTGCCATTGATGGTACCTCTGAGCAGTGCATGGTGATGCTCTGCATTGGGTCCTGGCCCTGGACTCCACAGGGACTCAGCCCCCAGGCGTGAGCATCTGCTCGTCCCTTGGTGGCTGGTGCCAGTGGGCACTGCAGCAATGGGGGCAGCTGCCAGAGTTGTCCCAATGTTAATTTCCCAATAAACACCCCATCATCATACCACCACCCATAATACCACAGCAGTACCCAATGCTGTCCATTCTGCATGTGTGTATAGGGTTTGTCAGAAGCCAGTGTTCAGCCAAGGCTCTGTACGTGTACGAAGACGAGTCACGCTGGCCTGTAGGAGTCTGTTTCCCATTAAGCGCTCCTCAGGAGCCACGCCAGGCATTCGCAGCACTGGCTCTCCCTCTGGCTTGTCCTCTCCTTCCCTAACCCTGCATCTTCCACAGTTGTTATTCTATGGTGGAGTCTGTGCATGGTGCTGAGCAGCTCCCAACCACCCCACAACCATGCCATGGCACAGGGGGATGGCTGCCCACCTTCAGGCAATGTTAGCTCTGGGCAGCAGGGCAGCATGATGTGGGCTTCCTACACCAACTTGGCTGAAGGTGAGGATGAGGGTGGCTCCCTATAGTAAAAAAAACTCCTTGTCCCGAGCAAAACCAAACAGCACTGGACTAATTAAGGGGAGTTCATTTTGGTTTTTTACTGTTAAGCTAATGTGAGATGTGGTTTATAGCACGTCCATTTCGATTTCCTTCAGCTAGACAATTGGCAAATAAATGTTCAGGCCAGACATTTTGAAAGGAAAATGTAATTTAAATCAGCTATACTCTTTCTTTTTTTCTGGTTAAAATATATTGCGCTTGGCTTTTCCAAACCCTTCTGTGCTATTGCCCTACCCCCTGTTTCTATAAAAACAAAAAGGCAAGCAGCTCGCCAAGGACCATTTCTCCGATGCTGGGGCTAAACACTGTGCTGACAGATGCAATGGAAAACCAGTGCATGAAACCCTCCATCCCAAAATGGGGTTTGTGCGTGCTCCTGGCTCACAGGGACACACACAGCCACAGCCAGCCAGGGCTTCATCCCTGTCCCCCAGCCAGCGCACACGGATGGATGGATGGGATGCTGGTCAGGGTGCCGCTGGCTTTCAGAGCGGCTGCTCAGGGACCCGGTGCTGGGTCAAGTGGGTGTTCAAATGGAATGATTGAAGTTTACCCACTAACAAATGTAGTTGAGGAGCGAGGAGGGGTTGGCAGGGGAGTGTCAGCAGCATCCAGGGAAGATGACGAGGGTTTTCAGGGGGACAAACAAAGATTCCCCTGAGCAACAACTGAATGAAAGCCTGAAGCGAATGCTGCGGGTACTGAGAGTGAATTATTTGCTGAGGTTCTCCATCAAATCAATGGCATCGTTCTGTGCTAGAGTTCACCCATTTACGTGCTCTCAGCCCCTCCAGCAGCTGTGCTTAAATAGCAACATTCAGGCCTGAATCTGCCCATTCAGGAGCAAAGGTTTGACCCATCGGAGGAAACTGCTGAACGAGGCTTTTGAGGGGAAAGTGGGGACTGTCTGCACTTGGAGGCCACTCTCCTCCCTGAGCTGGGGACCTGACTGTTCCCACATGCTGCTGTTGTTCAGGGGCTTGGGGAGGGCCAGAGGGTGCTGGGGTGCTCCTGACATAGGGGCAGGGGAAGCAGAGCTGTCTGGGGACCTGCCACTTGATTTCTTTTCCCAATGTCCAATTCAGTGCTTCCCTTTGTAGCAGCATTTCAGAAAAACCCGTATTTGCCACTGTGGCAGTAAGTTCTTTTGTCACTGAATATACTGTGGAAAAGAACAAACAAAAATACACCCAAATCACCATTTTCTTCAGGCTAGAAATGCAGGGGGTAGCCAATACTGTGCAGAGACAATTCCTCACTAATTCACACCTCATTTTTGGCTGTTATTTCCTCCAGATTTTAAAAACTGATGCCAAAAGTGATTGTGCTTGTCTTATTTTTTTAAACAAGACAAATTTAAAAAAAAGAAAAACCAAAAAACACCACCCACATACACAGAGTTGCTCTGTTACAGCAGTCCTTCCCCTGGTTTGGCAAAGCAGGGCTGTATGAGCTGCTTGCATGGTACCATCCATGTCGTCACATATTCCACACTTGCAGCTTCCTGAATTTCAGAAAGCGCTATCTCCGATGAACCCCCTCAAAGGAATCCAGCCTGGGTTCAGAATTAGGGAAATAGCAATCTAAATCAACGTATAAAGTTATTCCTTTGCTTTTGTTTTATTGCCTATATCCTATTCCCTAAGGTCAGGCAAGTTCAGCCTCCTGTTTGTATCTCAGGTATTTGGAGAAAGACTAATCCCCTAAAAAGCATGTCTCTTTGGGCAGGAAGGTATGGTTGATGTGAGGCTGCCAAATCCACCACATCTGCCTCTTGCGCTCTGCCAGTAAGGAAGGACTTGGTTTCTTCTGTGGTGAAGTGTTTCCTGTGGCTGTCACAGCTGTCATGAGTGGGTGATTTTGGCGTCAGGGTGTGCTGTGTTGTTGTGTCCCCATCCCGGCTGCAGCTCCTCTGCCAGTGTCGGCAGACACCTTCCCAACAGCGGAGCCACTGATAGAGCTGTGAAGCAGCCGCACAGGATGCAGAGACACAAAGGATCCTTTTGGCTAGAAATTTCTCTGGAAAGTCCAAAAATAATTTGGGCTGACCTACCAACCACCATCAGGAAGTGTCTTTGCTTCAAGACTGATTGCTTCTCCCCCAGTGGGCCAGGAGCAGGTCCCAGGGCCATCTGCAGACACACTAAGAGGTGCAGCTTGAGCCCTCCGGCTCCCTGCACTCAGCTGCACCACTGTCCTACTTCCTTAGGGCCTGTTTGTGTCTGTGACCCCCTAAAGAGGGGCAGTTATTTTGAGTCCTTTGTTTTTTCCCCACATTTATTTTCTGACTTTACAGATTTTTCTCCTATATAATGACAAAATTACTTTGAACAGCGACAAGCCTGTCTGACAGTCTCCGTGCTCTTCCTGTACACAGCAGGATATGAGGCTATTGATCAGCTGTTATTTTCAGCTTTGTTATTAAAATTGCAGCACTTTCTGAAGTGCTGAAATTCCCAATGCCTATGGATTTTGCAAACTGCCTCACTATGGTTTTGTTCAGGCTAAATGGCTAAGGCTTGCCACTTCTGTGTAATGATTGCAAAAATACTCAGCCTTATTGCTCTGCCCTTTTCCAGGTTACTCATCAGCAGTACAGAAATTCTCCCAGACTTTGCAGTCCTTTCAATTCGACTTTATTGGTGACACACTAACGGATGATGAGATCAATATTGGTAAGTTTTCTTCTTTTTGATGCCATCTTTCAGTAAGTGAGAAAGCCTTCTCTAGGAATTTGTGTGTACTGATAGTTTTCAAACAGCAACAAGAGCAGGTTCCTCAGATGCCAGTCAGCTATTCCATAACCTATTTTACAAAGTTCGACTTTCACGGGTAGAGGTTCACATTCCCAATTTAGCGGATAATTTGCGGGGGTTTTCCACAGCTTCAGCCCTGCTCTGTGCTCCCAGGCACTGGGGAGGATGGCGGTGCTGGCCTCCCAACGTGTCCCACTTCCCAGTGCCGCAGGTGGAGTGGGAGCATGTGTCTCCCAATCCAGGCAGGTGCTGCTCCCAAAGCTGCCTTTGCTCTGCTGAAAACGCCTTACAAAACCAAAGCTGTCCCACACTGCCCTGAAAAAGGAACCAGGCTGCAAACTGCTGGGAAAAATGAATTGCTGGATGTGGTGTTGTATGGAAAATAATCGCCTGCCTCTGCCTGTAACACAAGTGTTGTAGTACTCCACGCACATCTGTTTCAGGATTAGCAATCCTAAAGCCATTTTACCTCCCTGCCAGCCGGGTGCAACTGTGCAGATTACACAAATGCCAGCTGCGCCCAGGGAGCTAAACCCAATGGCCTAAATGCCCTAAACCCAGCATGTTTCAAATTACTCCTGCTGTTGGTTTAGCGAGTGCTGTTGAATGGCTGATGCAGGGGTATGGTGCTGCAGGGGTGGCACCAGGCAGGAGGGATGGCAGGACACTCTCCAGCCCCCAAGGGTCTGACTCTAGCCCATGGGACAAACCCCTGCGCTGAGGGGATGCACTGCGCTGTTGGGGGGCTCAGGGCATTAGCCAGGCTGCTCCTAGGGGCTGGATGTAGAAAAAAAGAATGAAAACCCAAAAGCTTTTGCCAAGCTGATGTTGAAGAGCAACTGAAAGTGTGGCATTGCTGATGTCAGGTCTCTCAGCCATCGCTGAAAGGGGAAGGAAGTAAAGCCTGTTCTTTGGTTTGTTTTATTTAAAGCGATTTAAAGCAGATTGCGGCTTGCCATTCAAAATCTGTTTTCCTTTATGGAAAGTCTCTAGGTGAAACCCACTGGAAATGACTCAGCCTCCAAATCTAATGGCAGTAGAGGTCCTAAATTTCCAAAGGCATCTGAATAAGGGAGGGGAAAAACATTGCCTTATAAATGCCCCTTCTGGGAGCAGAGGGATCTGAAGTGAACAGCCGCCCAAGGAAAGGAGTGTCCCTCCTCTTGGCTGGAAGGGACAAAGCTCCAATGTCCCATGTCCCTGTGCTGCCTCTTTGCCTGCCTCTGTGTGCTGGTTGTGGGAGGGGAGCAGGGCCTGCATGCAGTGGGGTGGGGTGGTGGGGCCACGGCGCTTGGCTGGTGAGGAAGGCTGCTGGGAATGGCAGAGGTTGAATGGGGAGATGGTGGGTGGAGGAGAGCAAGAAGAAATCACAGCAAATGTAAAACACTCCATGGTGAAAGGAGTGTGTTCCCTACTTCTGTTTTTGTTGGGGAATATTTGTTTTGCTTTTTCAAGAAGAGGTCCCTGGTTTCCCCTATGAAAAAGCCTGTGCTGTGTTCCTCCTCCTACACCAGTCACTGCGGTGCCTGCTGGGGCTGAGCCTCTTTGCAAGGCTCCCTTATTCCTGAAACAGCAGCAGGGCGTTGACATCTTCATAGCAGCTTCCATCTCCTGCAAGGATGCCAGAGATCTGCGTGGGAGCATAGGAGCTCATTTGATGTGCAGGATACGGGAATGAAGCAAAACATTCACAAACACTTCTTATCGTACTTCAGGGAATGTGTTTGATCTGTAAATATAGCTGATGGCGCATGTCTTTCTTTTCACGTAGGCAGACAGGAGGCTGACACCCCTGCGTGTCAGGTGGTGGCTTTGAACTCTCCAAGTGTGAGTCAGGACACAGACGCTGGGTTGATGTTGTCTGTCAGGAGCAGCGCTTCCCTCTGGGATGTTAATATCCACATTACATAGCGGCTGCCATCCCTCCATCGGTCACCTGCGTGGGACCTGAATCAACAGCTCCATCAGAGATGAATGGAGCAGTGAAATGGGATGGTGTGTTCCTCCCTCCTAGGCACGGGCACCTGAAATCCTCTGGCTGTAAGCTGCTGACGTTCCTGGAGTGTTTCTGGCTGGCCAGCTGAGTCATTCCCAGGCAGTTCCCAGGTGTGGCTTGGCAGGCTGCGGCTGTAGCCTCCCTGGTCTGCTCTGCAAGTGTTTTACCCAGGCCAGTAGCACGAGTCCACACCAGTGCTCCTGGACACTGCTGGTGTGGCAGCAGGGTACAGGCTGAGCCACGTATTGGTGGTGCCGGGACAAGTTCAGTGTGACTAGAGCCAGGAAATGGTGTGTCTGGGCTCTTCCTGTAGAGCAAGGAAAAAACCATCTAGTGACAATTTTCAGCAGTGGTATTTTCCCTGTAAGTTCAGGGCTGGATTCTCTTTCTCCCCTTCTTAATTCCTTTTCTGGCTCGGGCTCCCGATGTTTGTGCACACTTCAGGTTTCACATTGTCCTGAGAAACCACAGTGAAAGTCAGCGTGTCGGCCCTGTGGTAAAGCATAATAAACTATTAGGACATTGCATGTGCTGGGCTTTGAAGCCCTTGCTCTGGAAGAGAACTCAGAAGTTACTGACTCATCAAGAAGGTTATGTTTTGATGATGCCAGCTCAGGGGCTGTGTCACGAGGCTGTGGTTTTTCCTTTTTGTGTCTGTCTCAGCAACTGCAGAGAGAATCCTGTAACACTGGAAGCTTGTACTTGCTGGCTGTGCTGCAGCATTACAGCCTTTTCCTAGCAGGACAGGTAGTTCTAGGTACTGCCTGTGGGTGAGTGGAGAGGGCCCTCAGCTTGCACATAGAACAGAAATATATCCTCTTCTCTTATCTGTGGGATGAGCTATTCCTGTATGTGCCTTGCTATATGCCTGATGTGTTCCCTCTTGTGTTACCCCTGCCAAGCCCGGTGTGCTGGAGCTCTGGATACCATCCTGCTCACGAGCTCTGGTGTCAGCCAGGCACTTGTGATGATCTTTCGTTCATTCTCAGACAGCAAACAAGTGCCTCCACACGCGTCACAGCGAGTGCAGGGCCTGAACTGGGAGCGCAGGAACTCCTGTAGGTTTTACAAAGCCGTTCCGTACTTTCCAAGGTGAAGCTGCCAGACCTGTCCCAAACTCTGCTCCGGGCAGGGTGCGGCTCCCACTGCTGGAAGGTGATGAGTGGCACTGTGGGAACCTTTCCCAGCTAGCTCCCAGGTAGTTCCCAGGTACACCGAGGCAATTGGATTATGCCCTGCAGGTGTGCAGCACGCAGCCACGCCGCATGCTAGGTAGATGTTTGCCCAGCCTTGTCTGACAGCCTCCTGGAGAACAGAGGCTTTTGCAGTGCTCCTTGTTCCATTCTGCTGGTGACAGGTTTTTTCCCCTGCTACGGATTGAGCCCCTTCCCATGTTCTCACATGGCACAGAGAGGGGCTAGGTGTTCCTTCTTGGTGATACCCGTGTTGGTGTAAGGAGAGTCTAGTCACCTAGCCTCCTTTTTTTTTTGCCCCAGGCTAAATAAACCTTGTTGTTTCAGTTTGTTAAGGGAAAGGTTTCATGTTATTTTTGTTGTAGTTGGGCTCCAAGAAAAGTGCTGATCAGTGAGATCTCTTTGTTTAATTTTTAACTTCTTGGGGAATGGTGTCAATGTCTGTGACTATTTCTACACCTGCTGCCTTTCCTTTGTAGGTACACGGACTTTGTGCTTCTTGTCACTGAACGTAATCTCTGTTATTCCAGACTGTTTTCATTGTACAGGCTTGTCTTGGTCCTTGAATGCACCTGTAGTACTTTCCAGCTCAGGCAGAGGTCCTGGGCTCATTCTGGTGCTGCTGGCATACATGGAGGCTGGACAAGGCAGCCCCACTGTGTCAGAGCACGTCCTGCTGTGGTCCGTGGTGCTGGTGGCTGCCCCTTCCCTGTCACCTGCCTTACTGGCTTTGTACTACAATTCCTAATGAAAGCTGATGAATGTTGCCTTCCCTTTCCACAGCGTTACCTCCCTCATTGCTCTGGGCAGGAGGCCCTCTCCAGTGCGTAAATAAATACCCCTCATGGCCAGCCTCTACCGGTGCCCTGGCCTCACTCACTTTCTGACAAAAGGGGCCACCTCTCCTCTGGTTTTTGGCAAGCCTTTAGATGGCGATGCTGGGGGTGCAGACAGGTCTGGGTGCCCTGGTTCATTTCCCATGCTCCTGTACCATGTCCCAGCTCCATTGACCAGCCTCTTCTTTTCTTCACAGCTGAGTCCTTTAAGGAGTTCGCAGAGCTGCTCCACGAAGTAGAGCTGGAGAGGTCCATGATGGTAAGATGATCTAAACTGTGCTGTGGTAGTTATTGCCTTGTTGCAGATTTAAGTGCTAAATCATGGCCAAGCAGCACCATGTACCATTGGAAGGAAGCAGGGAGCACCAGGAACATTGTGTTTTGTACCACACCTTGTCTACTGTGGGCACTGAGCAGCACAAGGGAGACACTGGGCACAGACAGGGAGACCTTGTCTCAGGCAGTGTCCTGTCATGGACAGGGAGAGCTTGTCTCTGGCACTCCAGCATGCCAGGCAGTCATGGAGCTGCAGGACCCGGCCATCTGCAGCAGGTTTGCTCTGCAGAGCCAGGTATATCTGAGCTGGTAACAAGCTGGTTTTGTGATAAAACAATTATTAAAGAATATGCCAAATGTATCTTCAGCTTCGTTTTTGCCGGGTGCGAGCATGTGGGTCCCCCTGTGCCCTGCCCTTGTCAGCACAGCTCCTGCGGGGCGATGCGCTGCCTTCAGCCTCCCGCTGTGGTGTGCGCTTTGCCTCTCCATAGCTCCTCCAGAGTGAGTGCTGGCTTCCCATCTCACTCCTAAGTCCAGGAAAAACACGAAGGTTAGGCTCGGTGGAGAGCTTTTACAGCATGCCAGGAATGTGCTGCTTGGCTCTGCTTTCCTCTGCCTCGTGCAGCAGTGAGAGCTCGTGCCAGCCTGCTGGCTAGGCCAGTACTGCAGCAGTGGCTGCGCTGGTGGGACACCACAGATTGCTCTGTGGGGCCACAGGCAGGCAGGGAATGGGAGGAAAGCAGTAAGATAGTTCTTTGTTAATTCCATCCCAGGTACAATGGCTCCTTTGGCAGTGGGTAAGTGGGTGGAAGGGATCTTTTCAGGGATCATGGATGCTTTTAGGGATTGCTGTCCAGCTTCTCTAAATTTTTATTATTTCTTTCCCCCCTGCTCTGCTTGTAGGATGTTATTAACAGTAGCTCGCTCAGAAGGTTTCATGCTTTCACTATGTTCATCAGCTTTAGATTACCTGAAAGGGCTGGGGCAGTACAGTGTCATATTCTCTTCTCTTCCCCTCTCCCTTTGCTGGAGCTGGGGTGAGAGCCTGCCACAGCTGTGTGTGACAGCACAAGTGGGGATAGGAAGAGATGGTAGGTTGTGTCCCAGTGCCAGGGTGGAGCTGGATTCAGCAGTGCAAACTGGGGTGAATTTGCCTCTGGATTCATGGAGAGGGAGTGCAGAGCACATCCCAGGAAAGCGTCTTTCAGACATCTGACAGGACTGGAAGAGCCATGTGCAGGCTTTCCTTTTTCCCTAGCTGTTACCTTTACTCTCCTGCTGTGACAGATAACCTGCTGTCATTCCTCTTCTGGCTGGATTTCAGGAGAAGGAAAGTCTATCATTTATTTGACAGCCATGTTATTAGAGCTGTCAAGCCAGTGCTGTCTGTAGTGAGAAACGCCAGACCATAAGAAAGCCGTGGCAGGGATTCAGCCCCAGTCCTGCCTTCTGCTCATGTGAACTTGGGTCATTCCTCACACCTTCTCTGAGAAGCAGCTCCTGCCCAGTGCAGCCTTGCTGAGCTCTTAAGGGATGTTTTGCATTGGAAAAAAGCTCCTTTCAGGGCTGCAGCAGCCACTTTCTGGCAGTGCACTCACCAGCACGAGCGTCTGCTGTGTTCACTGGGAGATGCTAGTGACTCCACACATCCCTGCCTCTCAGATCTTACCCATCATGGCTTTACATTAAAGACAAGGGTGGATGTGTCGTGGAAGGCAGGGCTAGTACAGTGCTGTGCCTGGGTGGCAGGAGAGAGCACAGCCAGGATGTCTGGAGCAGAGGGGCCAGCAGAAGTGGCAGAGGGGAAGCAGCTGCAGGAGCACATCTTCCCTGCTCCCTTCCCTGCTGTTAGAGCAGGCAGGGCAGCTCGCTGCAGGCAGGGACCCAGCTGAGCTGACAAGTAAGTAGCAGTCCCCAGTGGGCTTTGAGAATATAATTGGTTCTGGTTTGTGCTTCTCAGAGATAAACAAACAGCCTTGCCTCCTGGGGCTGCTGCTAATGCTAGTTGAACATCAACTCTCTTGGCTCTTCCTGTGTCAGATAGGGACAGTGATTCTCTTAAAATGGGATGGGTGGCAAGTGCTGTCACCAATGGGATCGGGATCATCCAGCCTGATGCAGCATGTAGTACAGGGGCCACGCAGGCTGGGCTGCCCTGGGAGCTCGCTCCAGAGTGCCAGTGATGCAGGGCTGGGCTGGGTGGCTGGGGCTGTGCAGTGACAGTGTGCTGCAGCCTGTGAGGGCCATCCTAGTGTTATGCTGAGGCTGGAGAGGCCAGCAGGAGCAAAGCCTGCCTTGGCACAGACAGGACCGTAGGGAAACCGGTGTCTTGGAGGGCTGCTACTCCAGCAGGCTGGTGCCTGGGATTTGGTGGGAGAAAAGCAGCATTCCAGGCAGAGGGCAATGGCTCACTGTACAGGGAAGGTGGTAGGCTGGGAGAAACCCATCTGTCATCTACAGGGTGTCCCCAAAGCTTCATGTTCTGTGATGGAGGTTTTCTGTGTATTACAGATGGCGAAATGTGGGTATGGGTGGTTAAGCAGCTTCACCTACAGACAGAGGACAAGTTTGCAGTCAGAGACATCGAAATCTAAGAGTTCTTGGCTTCTAACCCTATTCAGCCTGTATTTAGGAGAAAATGAATCTGTATCCTGTAATTAAAACGTTTTTTTCTTTGTGCTGTAGGTACAGAACGCTAGTGATTTGCTGATCAAACCTTTGGAAAACTTTCGGAAGGAACAAATAGGGTTCACCAAGGTAAGGCTTGTTTGTTTTAAATTTAAACATATTTGTTTCCTATTACTGTATTTTAAGTCAATTTTTTTGTACCTTTTGTTGTTGTTGCTTTTGAAGAGTAGACAATTATTGTGCAATGTTTCAGCTTCATGCTCTCAGAAACTTCCCCATTTAATGCTGGCTTTCAGCTACTGGCACAAGAGAGTCCATGCTGTGACTTTTAGTCTGATTTTTCAATCATAAGAGGCTCCAAAACCTTTTCCTGAATTCTTTGGGTTCTCTTCTGGCCTAATTCCAGCACTTTCTCCATCCTGAGCAAGGAGTGCTTGTTTCAGCCAGTGATCAGGAGGTATTCCTTGCTTCTTTCGCTCCTCTCCCCGTTGTTCATTCAGTGCTATTGAGAATAAAACACTTTCTTCAGCTAAGAGTGTGTTAGAGCAGGAGGGGGAGAGAGCAGCAGAGGCCGGCAGTCAGAGCTTCATTATAATCACAGGGCTTTTGTTATGAAATATTTACATAAAGCATCTAACGATTCTTTCAGATGGACCAAACTTTTAAAGAAACAAACTATAGAAAGCAAATCCTGCACAAGTTGAGCAGAAAATATTATTTTTCCCTTGTCTGCTATCGAGAAGTCCAGGTTCCACATTACTCAGTGGCAGCTTGAAATGGGGCTGGCTCTGAACCAGCTCAGAAATGGAGATGTTTTGGAGAACACTTGGGGCTTGGATTCCACCCAGCCCATCTGGAGTCTGTGACGTTTAATAAATACAGGATTTGAGCATAGATACTTGATCACTGTCCTGCCCTTCAGAATCCCCCAGTACAACCATGTGTGTAGAACACCCCTGAGCAGCCACAGCAGCGTGAGCGTGGTGGAGGCAGCGCCATGGCTGTTGGTCTCGTGCTGGTGAACCAGGCGCAGGAGTGAAGCCTCCTCGCCAACAGGTTTTGCAACAGGCCTTGGTGTTACAAGCATGTGGATGTGCCCAGGGCTGAGAGAAAACTTCTTCCTGATGGATTTGCCTGCGTAACCATAGGGCCAGCACGTGTTTAGAAAAGAGTCATGGGGAAGGAGTCATGGGGACAAGGTCAAGCTGATTTTCTCCTCTGTGTTTATGGAACACTTAAGTCAAGAGGGCAACGGTCTACAAATGTTAAGATTACAGTATTAAAGCATCCTTCAGGCTGTTTTCTTCTCGGGTAGCTCTTCAGGTGTGTAAGGATTACTTTGTCTACAGGCCTGAGTGTGCTCTGCTCCAAGATCTGTGCCACATGCCACCCATGGGTCACATACTGTGCCTCCTGCTCTGGAGCTGGCTGGTGTCTGGCTGACAGGCACATGTCTCAGCATGATTGGTACCACAGTCCCAGCAGTAGGGAGCTCCGAGCACTGGCGCAGATTCACCTGGCAGCTTACAGCCCTTCTTGGTCCTTGCGGATGGGCCAGGTACCTCAGGCAGAGGTGTCAGGCAGTGGCAGGATGCTGTTCAGAAGCAGTTAAGAGGTGGCAGAGAGTAGGGATTCATTGCAGCTGGTTTGGAGGTCTTTATGGTTTGGCTTTGGGTTTTGTTTCTGATGAGGAACATGAACTGCAGAGGTATCGGGGGCACTTCGGAGGGCTCTGTGTGGCTCAGCAGAAGTGCTTGCACACAGGAGTTTGCAGCGGGGCATGTTGCATCCCGCTGTGTTTGCAGGTTTTGCCCACACTGAGGGGATGCAGGAGACACCACCTGCAGCCTTGAGTGGGTCTGAGGTTTGGAGCGAGCCCCAGCCTGCTCCAGACCCTTGCCCTCACCTCTGAAGCTTTCCTGGGAGGAGCTCACACTGGACCACTGGGCTGTGGCTGCTGGATATCGCCTTGGGCACAAAGCCCTCCTTCACTTGCCAGCCTGCAGAGCTGCTCCGGGTCATTCACATCCCTCTGCAGAAGGCATGAAATACAAATGAGGACTCCTCACAATGGTGCTCTGTCAGCGAGGGGGTCCCTCTCCATTGCTGCTGTGCCTCCACTGACTGGCATCATCCAATGATCCTTCCTGATTTACACCAGGGGGAAAGATGCCGGGGCCAGGCTGTGGAGCAGCCCAGAGACATGACACAGAGAATTTGTGCCCTCTGCTTCATTTCCCAGATTTTGGCAGAGCCGCCTTCTATGAGATGTTTTCTGTTCTCTTTGCAAGATGCTGAAGCCAGATAGGAAGAGCCTTTGAATTGGGGCTTTGTGGTGACTCTGGCTGGAGAGCAGCCAGTCAGTCTAAGACATCTGAGTCTGCATTAACCCGTTTTCCTGGGGATGAATGGAGTCTCCTCGCTCAGATGGTGTGCTCCCACACAGGGGAGCCCCCGGGTGTCACTGGGACCCACCGCAGCTGCCCCCCTCCAATCACTTTCTCTTGCTAACCGCAGACCCATGGGATCATTGCTCTTCCTGTGACGTGTCGGTAAATGTTTGTATGTGTGGACATCAAGGAGAAAAGCAGAGGATCCTGGATCACCTGAGCTGACCCATTTCTCAGCCCTGGCACCGGCACCTTGCTCTGCTCGGAAGCTGCAGGGTGGGTGCGAGCTCATGGCTGGGGGTGCAGCGCTGATTTGGTGAGAGGGGAAAGGAACCAGTGTAATTGAGACTGCTGCGAGCACTTGGAAGGGCATGGGTTGTGTCAGGGGAGAGCGTGTGGGGTGGTCTGTCTTCCTTTCATGTTAGATTGTATTTATGGAGGCTAGACTGTGTGCTCAGTCCATGTAGGCTATGGACCCTATGGATTCTGTGCCATCTCTGTTTGGCAGAAGCAGTTTGAGTCCCAGGCGCGCTTGATGAAGCTGTGCCTGACCATGAGGTTTGCAAATGAGCAGAGTAGCACATGGTGGGGTGGAGTTCTTGATTAGCAGGGGGTAATTAGAAGGATGTGCCTGCTAATAATGGGAAACCAAAAGTAGGATAGCAGGACCAGTTGTGGCCTGAAGCTCCAGATGAGCATGATATTACCTGGTGCACGTTCCCCTTGATCTACAGAGCTGTGAAGCAGAGCAGCGTGTGGTTTGCAGCCTTCCAGCAGCCCAAGGAAGTCCCTGCTTGCCCTCATGCAGGACAGCCCATGGAACTCAGGGTGCTGGGGCCTCACACAAGGAGGTGCCTGTCCCTCCCAGCAACGCCCTTGGCTTTTGGCTCATGCTGTGGGCGAGCTCTGCTCTGGGACTGGGGGGCTGTTGTTAAGAGCCTTGCTACAGTCATTACATTTAGGAGGATTTGGATAGGAAAAGTTTAATTCCGATTCCACTTGGAAAGAGAAAGTTGTTTTGGTTTGTTTGTTCTTTTTTTTAAGAAGAAAACCAAAACAAAAATGAAAACACAAAGCAAAACAAAAAAGCCAGAGGGGGAAAAAGTTGTTTGGACCCATTGTAAGCTGCGGGAGGAATGTTTACTACGTCCTGAGATGGTGAATAAATGCAGTGTTTCTCAAGAAGTTCATACAAAGCAGATAACGTGTATTCCTAAAAGCACTTAGCTAATTCTGTTACTGCTTTAAGAATAATTTTAAAAGAAAGGAAGGACAGTAACTTGTTTTCATCTCTGTGGGAGCAAGATCTAAGGAGCATTTGAGAGAATACAGTGGGTGAGGGAAAAAGACCAGGTTAAACTGAGTGTGGTTTTATAGAAATGCTCTTTCTACATCCTTCAACAGCATTTAGCTTTTTATAATTTACCTTTTCTGGCTTTTGTTGTATAAATGCTGATGCATCATACAAAGTAGTTAAACTCAGGCATGAAGTATTTTTTTCCATATGAACATGTTTCTCTTTTTCCCCTTTATCCCTCTGCTGTTTGCCAGACGAGGCTGCCAGTCAAAGGAGAACCTGCCTCCCAGTTTGCACCTTCAACTCCTCTCCAGCCACAGCTTGCCATTTCCTCAAGCTGATTTGGGGTTTGAATTTATTCAGCGCTGTCTTCTTTATCAAGTGACGGTGAACACATCACTCTTTGTTACTGGGCACCTGTGTTGTGAGCACAGTAGCTCTGCGGCAGTTTCATCAGTATTGTTGCTTTCATCCAAACAGGGTGGGAAATGCAGCGTAAGCAGATTCATTTAATATTTACAGGCTTTCAACTTGCAGTTTTGCCCAAGCTCTGCTTGGAGCCACTTGCAGCTCACTCTGCCTCTTCTAAGATGGGCATTTCAGAAGATGCTAAATAGCACCTAATGTTTAAGGGAGAGTTTTGACAAGTGCATTTGCCCCTTTTCCCCTGTAGTCTTTGGCTGCTCCATCTCTTGCTCAAACTGGGCCTGAGCCACTGTCCTTTCCGAAGGAGTCCTGCTCATTTCTGGTTAAAGCAGCATCTGCTGAAGCTTGGAAAGCAAAGCTTTTGAAGAGCAACCTCCTTTGCTGCTGTGTGGCTCTGCCTGCACTCAGGTGAAATCAGTTCGTGTCTCGTGATGAGCAAATAAGTTGGGTGGCATCTTGGACTTGGCAAATCTTAATGGGAAGGTAATGCTGTCCTTTGCTGGATATTCATGAGGAACTAATTTGTGCTCATGTTTACAGTCTGGGTGGTTTTTTGTGTTGTTTTTTTCTTTTGTGTTGGTTTGCTCTGTTCAGCAGCCAACAGGCTGTTAGAAGCCTTGGCTTGACAATCAGGAGGGATTTGTAGTTCATCCTTCTGCTTTTCAGTTCTGTGTTAATTAGCCAGAGTGGGAAATGATTGGCAAACTCCCTTGGTGGCCAAAAATGGTGTTCTGTGTTGTGTTCATTTCCATGTGGCAGCAGTTCTGCAGAAGCAAGCCGTGCTCTGCACACTGGTATCCATCTCAGATATCATTCCCAATCCCCTTGATCCCCAGGAAGGGCTTAGTGCTTTGCAGCGGAGGAGGTGGCACTCCCTGAAGGGTTTGCTGCTGGCCTCTGAGCTCCTGCTGCAGTAAAAGCTGTCCCATTGCTTGCACAGGTGTTTTCTTTCTTTTCACCTATCTTTTCCACTGCAGAGATGACCCTCTGCCAGAGGACAGGCTGTGTCTTCCTGCAGGCTCCCTCAAGGAGCGTGGCTGGCACCATCCCTTCCTGTGGTAAGAGACCACCTCTGTGGGGAGAGATGAGCTCTTGCTGGTTGGGTTCGAGCTAGCTTTCTATCACTGGGGGATTTTGGGACCTCTGGCAGCAGAGGTGTGGGCTGCAGCTGTGCTTCACTCCACTTCTGTGGCCTTGAGGTTTGGTTACTCCTTGTTTACAGAAATGAAAGCAAGCCTAGGGTCCTGACTGCCTTAAATGTGGCATCTAGTGGCACAGGCAAACAATCCAGAAGTGTGACCTTACAGACATGGTAACTGCTGCTTCTCAAACACTTTTGCTTCTCTGAGTTTGGATTTTCTTATCAGGGGTGTTAGTCACAAGGGTGTTGTTTTGTTTTGACAGTTCTTCCTGGCATTGGCTCTGCAGCTGCAGTGCTGCTTAATTTAGGTTTCACCCTTGGAGGTCTCTCTGCTTTTCTGGATTTGATGTGGACCTCTTTTTTTATTCTGAAGCACGAATTTGCTAATACAAAGTTATTGTATCCCAGATATTGCAGAGGGTGATACCAGAAGATATACTTCCCTTCTCGAGTCCTGTAACCACAGGGTCTCTGTAGGGCAGTAGGTGTAATTACTGGGGTAAAAAGGCTTGTTGGTTTAAGCCAGTTAAATATAAGCAGGGATATTCGAGTTTGTATCTCAGCTGCATTTTTCCATAGTAATTGTGCTTTCCCGATAGCAGTGTGCAAGGATTAGAGAAACAGGACTCTTGTGGGGTGAGAAATCCCTTTTGTAGGAAGGCAGTTTGTCCACCTTTTGTCCGAGGTGCCTCTAAGGAATCTGTGTCCACCAGCATGAGTCTGAATGCTGATGGCAAGCTGCTCCTCCTGCAAAGGCCGAGGAGTGTGAAAGCCTGTGCTACTGACAGTGGGTAACAAGGGGACCTGTGAGAGCTTCATGTGCTCCAGTAAATAACCTACGAGTGTCTCCCTATGTGCACACCAGGAAATAACCTTCCTTTTTCCAGAGGCAACGCATTAGTAGCTGCCTTGATCAAGGGCTGAGAAGAAGGTAGACCGTCAGGCAGGGGCTAACCATGATGAGCTAAAGTACCAGTTTGAGAGCTCCCAGGCATCCTGCTGTGGAGGACATCCCATTAGACAGACTGAAGAGTCAGTGCAAGTGGAATGGGGAAGCAAAACTTGACAGCAGGAGAACCAGTTAAAGAAAGAGAAAGGACTTTATTCAGGAAGCACAGTTTCAAACTTTGCAGTTGCTACTGATCTCGGGAGGAAATAACACATGGACCAGTCTGGCAGAGTCCATCTGCTCTGTTTTGTGGTGGCTTTGGTGTGTGTTTGCTTATTCATGAATTTCTGAATGGAGGCAAGAGAACTGGATTTCAGGGGCCTTACGGGATAATTGTTGAAAGATACCATTAATTCCACAGGAGGCTGAGATTTTTCTTTTTTCACTTTCCACTTTCTTGAGCTTTCAGAAGCTAGACAAAGAATCTGGGCATCCTGTACATACTCTGTAGTGTGCATACACCAGTCCTCAGATGCTTGGACGTGGCACTGAGGCTGCTGCCAGGCTGGAATTTCCTTCTTTTAGCAATTTAACTGCCTCTCGGCAGTCACTGATGGCTGTTACCATCTGATATGGGTATTTGTCAGCCTGGCTTCTTATCATTGTTTCTTGATTGCCACAGTCCTCTGTGGCTTCACAGTCATTGTAAGGCATAAGCAAACAGCCTGGTCCTCAGCTTGTCTTCTCCCTGTGTTCTCTTGGAGTTTTATTCTTAAATGTCTAGAATAAGAGGAAAAGAGACATTAACTCTTTCAGGTTTTCCAGTGCAAACAACTCTTTCCATTACAGCGGTTCCTTCACGAAGTCTTTTTTTCTTAACAAATCAGTCCATGTTTCATGTTTGCATGCCTGTGGTAGGCATGTTTGAGATGTACGGTAGGTCAGTAAGAACCAGACCATCCGTAGGGGACCTCCAAGAGGCGAGGTCTTCTCGGTGTGTGTTGTAAACCAGCTGTGTTTGAGGCAGCATTCCCCTGGGCTGTATTTGGGCTGGGCGCTCTGCAGTAAAGCTTGGGTAAGTTTTGCCTGCAAGGTTTGTGATCTCTCCTTCCACCACCACTGCTACAGGGATGATGACTTCCCTCCCATGTCTCACACCTCCAGTCTTCTGCTTTCGTTCTGATACTTTTCAGAAACACATGTCAAAAGCCTCAAAACAGAAAACTGCCAAACTCTTAACAAATCTTTTCTTATCCCAGACATGTCTTTGACATTAAAGTATCTGCTGAGTTGTTTCTGAACTGTGTGAACAGCACATTAGCACATGGTGAATAGGTTTTTGATGTATTAGTATGTCTCAATTTTAATTGACATCGAAGACATTGAGAAGGGGTGCAATATCTCATCAGTGGGGCTTTGCCATGACAAAAACCTTCAAGTGCCTGTGCCGCAAAATATTGCCAGAGCTTGGTCTTTAGTTGGAACTAGAATGGACTGTGAAAGCAGAGCAATTGGAAAGGGGCTGTCTGTTGACTAGAGTTTTTCCATGGCAATACTGAACTGTACAAAAGATCTTGGCATTGTTGCATGTTCTTACCTGGAAAATGCCAATAACTGGTTCTGCTTCAACTCCTGCAGGAAAGAAAGAAAAAGTTTGAGAAGGATGGTGAGAAGTTTTATTCTATGCTGGATCGCCATTTGCATCTGTCTTCCAAAAAGAAGGAATCCCAATTACAGGAGGTATGTATGGAGTTTTCTTCAGAGTTGGGTCCAGAAGCAACGTCACCAGCTGCTCTAAATGTTAAAAAAGGGAGAAAAGTCATCCTTTTCAGTAACTGATTAAAATTCAGAAGCACTTAAATCTACTAAAGCCTAGATTCTCTGGGTGAAATCAGGAAAATCAAGATCATAGTTCTCCTTAGCGTGTTGAACAGTAGTAGTGGCTTTATGCATTGTCAGAGCTTCTCACCCTTATGGTACGGGGCAGTGACGAGTTGCACTGGCACCTCTGGGGACTGGCTTCTCTTTCACCTGGCTCGGGGAACTGATCTGGCTGAAAAAGAGCTGGTTATTACTATTATTTTTGTCAGCACAGCTTCCTGCCTAGCTCCTGTGTTTGCAGGGGTAGCTGTGGCAGCAGGCCCATGGTGGCCATGAGCAGTAGGCGGAGGAGCAGGTACCCCTTCCAGCCCTGCTGCTGTCACACATGCTGCAACAAGCCCCAGCTGCTCCAGCCCACATCAGAGGAGCTGGATCAAATCAAATCTGTCAAACCAGTTGTTAGATCAAGCATCTTTGCAAGGCAAAATTTGTGGAAGCTGTGGTAACACAGCAATGCTGCGTTGTCCTCCCTGGTGCTGCAGCTCTGGAATTGCTGGGTTTGGGTTGCAGCTGGAGTCAGGCAAGAGGATCATGACAGTGGCCTTGTCCTCATCAGTGCAGGGCTGTGGGTGGAGACAGAGCTTATGCTGAAATAACAAATGGGCTTCAGGAAAGCCTTGAGAGTGGAGTGAGGTTCTGGATCCATAAGTGAAAGGGAGACAGAAAAGGGCAGACCTGAGAAGAACGGCCAGTGTTCCAGTCAGCTGGTTCTGTGCAAAGTGCTCAAAGCCTGGACACTTTTCATAGTCTTTTTCTTAAGTGAAGACAGAACTATTTGTGGGCTGAGAAGACAAATGCTAGTCAAGTATTGTCAAGCTAGATGTGATGTATTTTCTTTTTCCTCCTCTCCCTCTTTCTTCCAGGCTGATCTTCAGGTTGACAAAGAGAGACACAATTTCTTTGAGTCCTCCCTTGAGTATGTGTACCAGATCCAGGAAGTACAGGAAAGCAAGAAATTCAGTATTGTTGAACCGGTAGGAGCTCCCTTTGCTTCCAGACCTTGTTGTTTGATGCTCAGATGTGCTGATTTGCTGACAGTCGCAGGAAGGAATGAGTTACCAGGTTGGATTTGGTCCTGGGAAGTCTTGTGATGGAGTTAACCTTGCACACTTGGATTGCTGCAGCTTAACAGCCTTAGTAGTGTTTGCCAGAGCATCATGAAACCACAGACTTGTTTCTCATGTCTGTAAGTTGATACCGAGGAACAGGCTGGACACTGTAGGTCTTGTTATGAATTGCCCTGGACACCTTGTGTTTGTTAAGTGTTAGCTGCCCTCACAGGAAGAGAGTTGTTATCTGGTTTGCTTACCTGTCACAGCACAGGCTGCAGTGGTACCAGTTCATGTCTGTTCAGGCACCCTGCCCTGGACAAGTGGCTCTGCCCTGGCGCCAGATGTGCTTGAGCGTGGGATTGTGCAGGTCTTGTGGACGAGCAATCTGCAGATCTGCTCTTGTTCTCCCAGCAGGGCCTTTCATTTTGGGTGTGTTTTATTAACAAACAGATGTGTGGGTGGTAGACCTGGGCTTTAGGGACACTGTGGTGGATAAGTCATAGTGAGACTTGCATTGTTTCAACATTGTAAGAAAAAAAAAAAGAATTTGTATATGTAGTTTCTGAAACCCCGCTTCCTGTCTGTTTTCCCTCTGATTAGAAATATAGAAGAGGAGTTTAATCTGTGTCCTTTCACTCCTTTTTCAGGTGTTGGCTTTTCTCCACAGCCTTTTTACTTACAACAACCTGACAGTTGAACTCACGCAGGATTTCCTCCCTTATAAACAGCAGCTTCAGCTCAGCCTGCAGAATGTGAGTTCCTGCCCAGCTCAAGTATTTTTCACATGTGACTTCTATTCTCATTTGTATTTAAATACCTCTGTTGGCAAGGCTTTTCCCTGCAAAACAGACTGTTCATGTTTGCATTGCAGGAGGTGCAGATAAAGTTATTTCCTTCTCAGTTCACATGTATTTTCTCCTCTCCTGCATGAGAGAGTCTGCAGGTGTTATTATAGTGGCTCACTCTGACTAGAAGGGACAATTGCAATTATGTCATTTAACCTTGTGCATAAACAAGCCTAAGAATTTCTTCCAACTTCATGAAAAATGGTACACATCTTCTAAAAAGGCCTCCAATCTTGATCTTTATGATATCAGCTTACTACGTGCTTTGGTAAGCTTCTCTGCTGGCTAGGTATGCTCATGGGGTGAAATACCTATGTCCTGTTTCGATAATCCTCTGTCTTTCATGGTTGGCCCACATTCCCATGGAACAACAGCCATAAATCTGTGCCAAGCTGAGTTTACTGCTGGCTCATTAGTTGGTGTAAGTGGTGTTCCATAAAAATACCATGATTTTGTACCCTGTGCTGACATGACTCTTTAAAAACTACTCTGGTGCCAAGCAGTGTAGCATGATCTTTTGAGAAAGTTTTGTAGGAGAATACACCCGTTACCTAAACAATAGTGCAAAGAGTAGTTCAGGTGCTTCCTTGTGCTCCACCTAGCCTTAAAATGTGCTAAGTTTCTTTCATTAAAAGAACAAGTGTCCCTCCTAGTCATGACTCCTCGACACCATTTCCACGCATGGTATGTTAAACCATGTCTCTTCAATCATCTTCGAGAGTCCAGTTGTTCCTATAGCTGGAGTTTTCATGGGAATATGTGGGATGGCTGCTACATTTAGTACATTGGGGACTGATTCATTTAAAGTTTGACCAGGAATACCTGAAGCTTGCTCTTTGCTTATGTTCAAATGTGCTTGGTTTTGTTTTCTCTTAACAGACAAGGAATCATTTTTCCAGCACACGGGAGGAGCTGGAAGACCTGAAGAAGAGGATGAAGGAAGCCCCCCTAACTTGCAAGCTACCTGGGCAGCCAACCATTGAGGGCTATCTGTACACTCAAGAGAAATGTAATAGCTTATATATGCACATGAATGTGTTAAAAACACAGTAGCCTGGGCTGCTCTGCTCATAGCCCCACAACAGGGGCTGCGCTCAGCTCCTGTGCCCAGGCCAGTTTAGTCATGGCAGCGCTGTGAGCCGCGCTGCACGGGGTGTCACTGCCTGCCAGTGCACAGGGAATCACCAGCAACTTCAGCTGCCAGCTTTCTCAGCGGTGGCACAGAGCTTTCTCCGAGTTTTGTGAGCCATGTAAGCAAGCAGCTAATTGCCCTGCACTCAAATTAGATGAGATTTATTACTCTCTTGTACCGCTGGAGAGACCAGAGCTCTGGTAGTTTGCACCTTGGCTGCGTTTTATCAGAACAAATCTGGTGTCCTGCCCAGCTTCCCTCTCGACATCTCTGAGGGCATCTGAGCACAACTGAAGCATTAACCAGCGCTTAAAGTTAAACTGCTGAGAGTGAAGCTTGTTGCCATTCTGTGCAGTATCAAATCAAACCAAATTCAGTCTTTTGCAAATACTTGCTGTAGCTTTCCATGGCCATGCAAGCTCAGGGGACAAAAGCCTGTGTGCAGAGCTGTAGCCTCTGAGTCCACAGAACTTAGTGCACAATTAATTTTTGGATTATACATACAAATGTATTTATACAGATGTTCATATATATGTTTATCCTGCTTTTAAAAGAAAACACACAGACATTAATTTTAGACCACAAATGTTACATGTTCCTGCATGCCAGTGACTGTTGCTGCCTCTGTTTATGTTTCTCCTATAAATTGAATATGAAGACAGTTGTTCCTCCTGACAACTGCAAGTTAAAAACAAATTACAGAAACAAATGCTATTTGAAGTATTTCATATAAAGATCTTTAGGCATGACAACAAAGAAAAGTGTCGATAAATCTAGCATGATACACATAGAAACTAAGTTTCAGTGTTTTAAAAAGGCTGTTGTTTTTACTACCAAGTTTTCATCAACAGGAAAAACTAGTGGTGTCTGGGTGAAGCAAGCATTCCAGCCACGTAAAACCTGCCAATGTAGGTCTTGGCTGGACTTGGCCAAACCAGCTTGGCTTTCAACCAAAGTCCCACAAACCCTCTTTCACCGGCAGCATTTTGGGAGGTCACTGGAGGCAGCTGCAGCCTCACTCCTCCTCCTGCTCCTCCTGGCTTTTCCCAGTGGAGATGCTGCCAAGGGAGGTGTCCTCACGGGGCCAGCAGCGTCTGGTCCCAGAGAAGGGTAGACATGTGGGTAATGCTGTCCATGCTTTGCCAGCTGCATCCAGCTAAGGCACTGTCTTTGACTCCAGCTTCCCATGTGTTTCTGCAGGGGCACTGGGCATCTCCTGGGTGAAGTATTACTGCCAGTATGAGAAAGAGGCAAAAACCTTACGGATGACACCCATGGACCAGAAACCTGGAGCTAAGCAAGTGAGTTGGTTTCTTGGAGGGATATCTGCAAACACTGACCCAGCCATCAGGTCTCACCTTCAGTTTGCCCACATCATCTTTCCATAAGCAGACATACAGGTGCCATGTCCAGAGCAGTGCAGGCCAGCCCTGCTGTCAGAGCAGTTGTCTGGCAGCACCAGTCCTCAAGACCTGCTGGCAGGTCGCACAGGCAGGGAGCTTGGTGCAACCTGAAAGGCACCTCTGGGAAGAGAAGTTTCATCTCCTTCTCCCAAAACGGCCTGAAGCCCTGCAGGGTTTCGCAGTGGAGATGCAGGTTTGTGTAACATGAGCATTATTCAGACAGTGGTGACTTGCAAGATTGGTCTAATGTGAAATTTCTGCCTTTCCAGACAAGCTAATTTTAATATTTGTCCATGCACATGAGCAGTGAACCTGCAGCCTGGTTTGCACGTAGCCCTCTGGCAGTGATTGCAAGTACTTAAATCACTCGAGTTATTAGATGCGTGCTTCCAAAAGGGGAATTTCTCTGCCTTTGCATGTTGGCACAGTCACTGGTTTGTGAATTTCATTTCTGTTCTTGGAACTGATTACGTGGGAGTGGGACCAGTGTTAGGAGAGCAGGAGAGGGCAGCATTGCAGCTCTAAACTGCAATAAGGCAACGATCTGGGGAATGGCTTCTTTGGCAAAGTGTTTTGGTTTTTACCACTGTGTCTGGGAGTTCCCTGCATTTCCTCAGCATGACAGAGCAGGGGTAGGATGCAGGCACGGATGACAGAGCACAGCAAGTGCATCCAGCTGAGTCCACCCGCCCCCTCTGCCATGGAGCAATGTCCCCTGGGGACTCCCAGTCAGGCATGCTGTTCTCCAGTTCGTGATCTCATGGTCTGTTCTTTGCCAGCCCTCTGCATGCTGCAGCAATAAAATAAAATGTATTTTTTGGAAGCCCTTGGCAGAGACCTTGGCAAAGAAATGACCAAACTGTTGACTGAAGAGATCTGTTATCATCTCTGCCATAAATATGTCTGGTAGGGCAAATTAATGAAAGTAGAGGCTTGTAAAAATGTGAATTAGTCCCTTTCCCAAACTTTTGTAATCTGGAAATCTGCACCTTTGGCCATACAACTTTAAATGCTGTGATTGCAGGCAGTTCTCTTAAAAACCACAAACAACCAGCACACACACACAAAGTACAGCCAAGAGATTATCATTGCAGTGTGTAAACTGGAGGTAATCTTGGAGGAGACTGTCCCTGCTCCGTGCTCTGCCTGATCCGCTTCTGCTGGAGGTCTTGGAGATGCAGCAGCAGTGAGGGTCGAGGTGATTAACACGTTCCAGGCTTGCACACTCACCCTGGGGGCTGGTTGGTTGCACAGTCTCTTACAAAGGCGTGGAGATTTCATGATCACGTTGCAGTGACTCTGCTGTGGAGTGAGGCGCATGAATGCGAAGGGTTGGAGCTCAGCCCCGCACCACTGGCCTCACTTCAGAGTGTACCTACTCCAGATTTGGCCAGTTAGCGTTCCTTTCCTACAAGGTATTTCATGCAAAGCTCTTTGGACCTTGAATGCTATGGATCAGCCCCAGTGAAAAATAGGAGCTAGCTGTGGTCCTGGTCTCAAAGACCAAGTGGCTGCCTGGTGAGGTTTGTTTATAGAAGGGTTCCTGCTCTGTGGAAGCATATACTGCTTGTTGCTGAGATATTTAGCACTTGTTTGCAGGACAGTTCTGTGACATCTAGAGCAACATGTGGCTGAGGAGAAGAAGCCAGGCTTATGAAGCCTTTGATCTCTGTTGATGGTGGGAAGGACTGTCTCTGCTTCTGGTACCAGTGCCATGAGATTGCAGAGCACCCCTGGGCACCTGGTGCTCTGTGGGCAGTGCCAGACTAGGCTGCAACCTAAGGGTGCTGAGGAACCTGAAATCTTCTATGTTTCTTTCCTCTAACCTTAGCTTTCATTTTCTCTCCTAGGGCACCTTAGACCTGACACTGAAATCCTGTGTGAGGAGAAAGACTGACTCTATAGACAAAAGGTTTTGTTTCGACATTGAAACTAATGAAAGGTGAGATGCTCAGTGTTCAAATGGCCTCCAAACCTTGCAAACTTGTATGAACTCGCTCCGTGCTGTCTATTAAAACCAAATTTTGCTTCATTTTCCTACCTGTCCCTGGGTGAACTCTGCACAGGTCTGGGACCATCACGCTGCAGGCCCTCTCCGAAGCCAATCGAAGGCTGTGGATGGAAGCCATGGACGGGAAGGAGCCGGTAAGTGTTTTGGGAGCTGCTGCCCATATGCTGCCGAGCAGTGTCCTCTGCTGGCGGCTTTTGGGGAAGAGCTGGGATAGCTCAATAGTAGGGTATTTAGTACAGCTACCACTTATCCATAACTCGTCAGTTTAGCCACTGCACATCGGAGACAGGGCTTTGTGCTGTTCTGCGGGCACAGCTGGCAACAGGGATTTTGGTTTTCCCCCTTTAAAGCTCTGGTACAACCCTGGCTGTGCCAGGCTGCCTAAAGACTGTGGCCTTACTGAGTCCAGAGCACTCTGTACTTCTGTTGCTCACAACTCACTCTCCAACCTTTCTCTGTCCCTGCTCTAAGTAGCGTTTGGAAAGGTGGGAGCAGCCACTCTGCCCCCTCTTCCCCACCTTTCTGTGCCTACTGGTGTTTCCTTCTCTAAGTCTAAGCAAAGCACAGTCCTCTGCACTTTACCGATCTTCCTCTACATGGGCAGCATCATGTGCAGTGTGAGAAAACCATTTCTGGCAGCTCCCTTTGTCTTTGGGCATGCTCCACAGCACTTTTCTCCTACTCATTTCTCCTACTCATTTAAACAGGACAGGACATGGGAGAGCATGGAGGGTCAGTGTGCTCATGCTGGACAGCCAGTCGCTTCAGGGTGTCTGGGTCTCCTTCAGTTTGCACAGCATGTTACTATGTTTAAAGGATTTTTGATTTTCTGTCAAGAATGGCACTCACTGTTTATTATTAATAAATACAAGATGTATTTTTGTGTGGCATGAACAAATGTCTTGACACTTGAATTTTTAAGACGAAGCAAACAAACAAAAAACCCACAACCCCTGTGTGCTAGACTATCCAGCTGCCCTTTTTACAGGGTAACTGAAAGACAAAGTTTCCAGCTCAGGTGCTCTAGTGAAATGTAGAAAGTCAGAAAAAAATGATTTATTGTGTAGGTAATGGTATCTTGCGTAATTATAAAATGACATTTCTTTGGGACGTTGCCTTACTGTTTGTGATTGGCTTCAGGTGATTTATGGGATGCTGTACTTTCTTAAGAAAATAAATACTGAATCATATTGCATGTTTTTTTTTCTTCCTCTTCCATTCCCTCCCCCTTTTCAGATCTACCACAGTCCCATCACAAAACAGGAAGAAAGTGAGTGATTTCTGTTGCTGTTCCTTGAGCTGTTGAAGCTGCCCAGAGGTCAGGCAGTGGTTTCCCTTGCAGATACACTCATCCTCAATTTCTACTGAGTAGGCTGTGTGTTCCCCCCGTGGAACTCCTTTCCATTGCAGTGTCTGATACTGAGGCCAGATAAGAATGAGTTGCAAACGGTAAAAGTGATCGATTGTAAGGTGCAGTTTTTATTTATCCAGAACTAGCGGGATGCAGAGTTCAATGTGCACCTCTAAGCCCTGAAGCAGCAGAGGGGTAAAAAGAAAGCAGGAGATTTTGAGGATGTTTCATGGAATCATGGAATGGTTTGGGTTGGAAGGGACCTTAAAGCTCATCTAGTTCCAACCCCCTGCCACAGGCAGGGACACCTTCCACTAGAGCAGGTTGCTTAAACCCCCATCTAGCCTGGCCTTGAACACTGCCAGGGATTCAGCAGCCACAGCTTCTCTGGGCACCCTGTGCCAGCACCTCACCACCCTCACAGGGAAGAACCTCTTCCTAATGTCTAATTTCTTTTAGCAAATATTATAATAGAAAAAACAGAGGTGGCATTCAGTTCCCTGGAGCTCCCACCCCATCCCACTGCCTTGTCCCACGTGTCTCATTTCACAAGCAGGGTGCACCCTGCCCACTGCGCCACAGCCCCGGGCAGGCTGAGCATGCACTGCCATGGCTGCACATGGGAAACACTGAGGCTTCATTAGCATTCTATATATTAGAGCTTACTCTTGTCAACACTTTAATTCACTGACTTTAATGAGCATGGAGGTAGCATTATCAGAAGCATAAGCATGAAACCTGTCGTTTGACTTTGTTTGCATTGCACGCTTGGAAGGAATATGACTCAGTGTTGCACAAGAGTAAATACACTATTTTTAATAGATTAGAGCTAGAAAGACTTACCATACTTACCTTAGTCGTATCATACCACTCAGTATCAAGTACCGAGTGGATCTGTGCTTGAGGGTGCCTTTACTCATTCTTGTGTTAGAGCTTTTCATCGACATTGCTCGTAGAAGAGAGAGTTGTTATAAACATCTTGCTGAGAATACAGTGATTTCATAGGATTTGCCAGCATTGCCTGTGCTGTGACAACTGTGCTGGAGTTGGTCCAGATGTGTCCTGTGGCTGTTTCTTCCAGTAAAATGTTATTTTGTGTTAAAAAGATTAACAAAATAACCTAAACATCCCCACCCACCCCAAATAACCCAACCCCCCAAAATTCTAAACCACCAACAGCATGGTCATTTACAAGAAATTCAGTATAAATGTTGGCACTGAACAGAAAGGTATTTCACAGTATAACTTGGACAATCCTTCCAGATATCCCAGAAAAATTAGAAAAAGTAGTAGTGTGATTACAGAAATTGACATATGTGTCTAGAAAAAAATCCTGACTTCCTACCTGCTTCATGATGCCTGCGTGACAGGCACAAAGACAGCCTGGGGTTAATCGGTGGTGCAAAAGCCAGTGTTCTGCTTTACTCAGCCTATCAAGCTGTGTTGGTTTTGCTTTTTAATCTAGTCAAGTAGATAAGCAGAAATTACATGATCTTGTGATGTGGTGAGCTTTAACTGCAGATTTTGTAGCACTCTGGAAATATTAATCAGCAAATTATCAGAACAAATTCACATGTGGCTGGACTGATTTATGCTTTTATTATTAAAGACAGAAGGAGGATAAGGAGCAGTGCTGTAACTCAAAATGAATTCAAGGAAAAATGGACAACATACAGAACTAGTAATTCCTTGTCAGGATTTAAAGAATGCCTGTATTTTCCTGGAGGGATGCATGCAATGCAAATGTGCGTGTGAACCTGGCTGCATGCTGGAGCACTGAGCTTTGTGTGCTGAGCAGGGTCCTGGGATGGGGCTTTCCCAGTAGTTTTCCATGGGGAGCTGCATGCTGGTGTTCAGGCAGGTAACACTGCTTCCCTTCTTTGAAACAGTGGAGCTGAACGAGGTTGGCTTCAAGTTTGTGCGGAAGTGCATCAACGCTGTGGAAACGAAAGGTAAGCTGCTCTTCCTGGCATCAGGAGGTGCTGCTGTCCTGGTGTTGCTTCCTATGGCCTGGAGTTGTTTTGTGTTTTCAGCAGTTACAGTTGTTAGTCCAAGAATTGAGACTTTGACTTTTAGCTGAAGAACACAATGCCAGAGGAGCAGAAATCCTGTGTGGTCCAGAATGTTGTTATACCACATTTGGTTAGGATTGAATTTCCACCTTTATGCTGTTTTCATTCATTGGTCTTTTATCTTTGGCTCTGAGAAAACAGAGGATAGCTCTGGAATTCTCCTTGTACTGAGGGACAGGCAGGGGACACCTGGGGTACAGGGTTACTCGGACCCATTTTGTTAAAAGTAGCAGGACAGAAGCAGGCTGATGGTTAACAGCTCACTCACTTGTCTTTCATGAAATGCCCAGCCTGTACCAGCATACATGGCCAGCATGGGCTGTAGGACACAGACAGATCACTCCAGAACACCTAGATGCGCAGGCTGCCACAGGGGAAGGCGCCTGGTTTAATCTCCAGAACCTTTGGGAGGTGTGACCAGCCAAGCCCTGCTGAGTTGGGGAGGAGCAGAGCAATGAGACCCTTCTCTCAGAGCCAGGCAAATCCAGCACTTCTGTCTTTCCTAACATTGGCTCATATTTTCAAAGAACCTGCTTAAACATGTCTGTGTTTTGTGACAATTTGAACAAGTTTGTGTCAAGCAGCACCCTCCAGAAATGGCACCTTTGGCAGGTAGGACTTGCCAACTTGAGTGCGTGTTCTGCACATTGGCTGGGCTCCCCTGACCCTGACATGATCCCGACAGAAGGTCCAAGTCCTGCTGCATGAGTGGCCATGCCCCATGTCCTGCCCGCAGCACCCCATGGGGCAGTGTGTGTGGAATATCCTGGGGCAGTTCAGGGTATATCAGCGGTTCTATTGAGCCAGCACCCAACAGCCAGGAGAGGAGTTCCACTAGATGGGGCCTTTGGACTTCCCACCAGCTGGGGAAGACCCTTCCTAACGCTCTTCGGCTTTCTCCTGCTTAGGAATTACTACGGAGGGCATCTACCGGACTGTTGGCAGCAATATTCAGGTGCAGAAGTTGCTGAACGCCTTTTTTGGTAAGAATTAATTATTCTGCACAACTAGATTGCCCTGATTTTGTATTGTTTTATATTGACAGAGAGGATTGGATTTTACAGTGAGAAATATCCACTGTGATTTTTGGTCCCTGTGGTCCCCTGAGGTACATCTTCTGCTTATTTTCTGGGCTTTCTGCTTCAACTGTATTTATTTGTTTGTGGTGCAACCTGCATTTAAAGTTAAGTGAGCAGCAGCAAGAAAAAGGGAGGCAGTGACCCTGAAGCAGTGATTATAAGCCTTCTTCCATCCTGTGCTAAAAATATCCAGGCATTTTGGAATTGCATGCTGGGGACACATTCCTATTGCAGGCCTGGGATGCAGGACATTGGCCAAGGGGAGATGAGCCCTTGCCCATGGCCCCTGCCCTGCTGTCCCTCCTGCAGTGCTGGGGACTTGCCTCGCTATTTGTGGGGAGCTACCATGTCCCATGGGTCTGGCACACAGGTGAGCCTTTTTCTCAGTGGGGTATCATAGAATCATAGAATGGTTTGGGT